CCGGCGATATGAAATTAATAACCGTCAAATAATATGGCAATCAAATGTTCATTTTATGGCGAAAGATATCATTATTCGGGCCTGAATATTCCTGTAGGCAAATAAAAGTGTCAGTTCTGACTAAGAGAAATGTTCGCGAGTTAATGTTGTTCTGATTGTTTCGTTTCGGTCACATTATTTCTATTCCATTGCCCAGAAATTATACGACCGGCGACAAATCTTATGAAAAGTGGAGTACGGGTACGGCGGTATTAACAAAAAACCGATGGAACTATTATTTTTTGTAATTTATGCGAGATGAAGATAAACGGTGACGAAAAATTTATTGCGCGCATAATTATTACTGGAAAACACACTACAAGTAAACATAATCGCGAGAAATCTCTAGTGAAAAACGAAATTTACAAGTGCATATCTTGTACTTTTTTAAACGCATAACTGCATTATACATACCTAGCACTTTTAAAAAGTATTAAATTCCGAACTCTAGTTACAAATAGTTTGGAAGAAAAAAACAATTTTTAAAAATATCACTGTCTGTTTTCATAAACCGTGAAATCGTTGTGATAACACGCATCGATATAAGATTTTTTGACGAACGTCAATCAATAATAAACAAGACTTTTACGCGAATAATCAACAAGTATACGCGTTTCAAGTTAAAAAGTTTTGATTACACTCGTTGTCGAAAAACCGAGAATAGCGTGTACAGTGTACACGCCGCATACCCGCGCATGCGCTCGACCACGCCACTGAGATTAGGCCAAAAGGAAAAAAAAAATTGGAAATTTCAGAAATAGCCTGCTGTAGGTAGTGTTATAGGTTTGTTTTCGGGAATCGCTAGGGACGCTAAATTTAAAGTCTCGGTCCTTCTGTTTTTGTTTTTTTTTTTAAATTCGAGCACTGCGGTTGACCGTCAGACACGGTTTTTGTTTGTCCGCGGGGTTTTTTTTTTTCCCCAAGCAAGCAACGTTTCGCTCCGGAAATCTCGCTCCGAGCGGGAGAACGTCGTCCGGCAGTATTTTCGGTTACACAATACGGTAAACGAATACGTCGCGTGGCGGATTCACAGTAACGCGCGTCACAGCGCGTTCGGTAAATCGGGAGTCCGGTCTGCGCACCGAGGCTGGACGGTTTTGTTAACACGAGTCCGCTATGTTTATAAAGCGGCGAGCCAATTTTACAAGTATTCGTCCGAGCCCGGTCCGACACGAACAGAAACGCGCATCGCGATGTCTCGGACCGGCGCCGGCGGGGCGTTACGTGCGGCGCGCGCGCGTCTGCCGTGGGCCCGTTCCAGGTCCCCACCCGCGTTTTCGTTTGGCTCGTCCGCCCGACGTACGTGATCGATTGACTTTGGGCGACTTTGTAATTCGCCGGGTTCACCGAGAACTCGGGTCGCTTATCAACCGGGTCGACCGCGCGTCCGCTGCGCGCGCGCGCCCGTCCAAATAACCGCCCGTGACGTCCGCGTTTATCGACGCGGCGATTACGCAATGCCGAATCGTTATCGCGGAATCGGCGTACCGGCATCAATACCGGCGGGCGTTCGCGCCTGTAAAACCGGTGCGCGCGTGAACCGCATAGTGCCGCGCGGGCGTTGACGCGCGGGTGATAAGAATACGCGGGACGATTTCCCGTTTCCGCCGAAATATAATATTGCCAAGTCGCCGCTAAAGAGAGAAAAAAAAAAAATTGGTTTTTTTTTGTTTTTTGGAAACCAATGGTTTTAATCCGTATCGGTATAACGTACAACATTTAGCGCGTAACCCATTGTAACAATCCAATGTCATCGAATTATCGAGATAAGTTAATAACGACGTGAAACATAACGTCGCGAACAGCAAAATGACACTAAAAAAATATCGACAATAACGCCCGAGGGGCAAACGTTAATTGTACAATTATCGATTGCAACGATATTTGTACCGTCGTTACCTAAGGGCTAGGATTTGTATGCAATAAAACATTGTAAAATATGCATTTTGTTTACCAAAATATGCAAAAATATGCATTTAAATTTTTATAAGATAAATACAAAAATATAGCTACAAAATGTATTTATTTATTGAAATACATTAGTGATTGGCTGTTTGTCTTAACATAATATTATTGAGAAATAAAATGAAATCAATTAATTTGGAAATAAAATTTATAATTCACATTCGATAGCGGAAATACGCGTGTTACATGCTACGACAACATATTCTTTTAAATTTTCGAATGTAAATGATCGGCGATTGGATCGTAGTATTGGTTTATATTGACTGAAGTTCCGTTCAACGTCACATGATGTAGTTAGCGTATATTGAAATAAAGAAATTTGTCCTGGTGTTAAATTACAACTGAAATTGTCCTCGTCCGATTCGCCATTTAATATTATATTTNGATATTTTGTTTTCAACTTTATCTGCGACTCTTCCGTTGCACTCAAAAATTCGATTCCTAGCATTTTTAATAATCTATAGACTTTCATAAAGTCTTTCTCCGTCAAACTATTCAATCTTTTATCGCATACCTATTGTACCGTAGAATCGTATTTATAAAAATAAAATTTATGTTTGACAAAAAATCAAGTTTTTTACTTTAATTAGCAGGGCTAGAATTAAATACGAAATATTAATATTAAATTATAAATATTTATTACGAAATACACTGTGAAACATGCACTTTTCGCATTCCTTAATCAAAATATGCAATAATATTCGTTTCATTCAATATATGCGATAATATGCATTTTATCCAAAATATGCAAAAACATGCGAAACAAAAACACCGCCACTTATCTCGTCATGAGGTGATTCGTGGAAATTACTGACAAAATCAATAATCAGATGTCACAAAAAAAACATGCTGTTGCATATAAATCCTAGCTCTGGTCGTTACTATAACTTTAACGATTTATCGCGATTGTTACCCGTATTGTATTGGTTTACCGATGACCTCCCGAAATATTGAAACATAATAATGGATATTATGCGGTTTTTTATTTTTTTTTCTTTCAAAACTAATTCAATTGTTTTATGACGCCAACGAATTATACCATTATTACTTCAGGTGCACGGTTCCCGAACGGCGTTTTGGCGGAAACGGAAATCGTACCGTTTTCGTATTTGGCGGAAAAAGCTATGCAGATATTAGCCCGCCGTCGGTGTCGCTGTGTTTTATTACACGGTTGGTATCGTGTTAGCGTTACGCTAACGTTGCCGGTCGTCCGTTCTTGTGAATTATTATTGATGAACTCAGAACAGTGAAACAAAAATAAAAATATTTGTCTAGTTATATCCTACGAAAATTTGACTGTCAATAGCGATTTTCATTAAAATTAAAAAAAAAAAAAAATTAATAATTTTAGTAAAATAAAGCACATTTAAAAAAAAAAAAAAAAAACCACTTTTAAAATAACGCAAATTATAAAAAGAAAGAATCATTGAACATTATTGTTCACCATTCAAATTTTCTAAATAAATAAATATATATATATATATATGCATATATGGATACGCGGTTTTTTAGTCGCAAACGCTCAAAATCCGTTCACAAAGTTCGTCACGAGTTGTACTCGTATAGCGGTTCAACAAACAAAACCGTACTTTCCCCCCCCGTTAGCGTTTCAATAATTGCCCGATTTTCGATAAAATCCGTTGAATAACGAAATTATTTTTTATAGTTACAAATTGAAATATGTCACACGCTCAGTATCGTTTTTACGTTTGCCACGTTTGATCGTTGCACGCGGTATACACGCTTAACTACCCGATAATTAACATCCTGTACGGGGTGATCTATCGTATAACACACATCATCCCGGAAAGTGTTAACCTTTTTCGAAATTTCTTTTAAAGAACATTTAAGAGACAAGCTGTGTTCCAAAATTTGACATTTACATTATTTTTTGTCGCCCTAATTTTTGTGCGTGAAACGATTACCTGCTTTTGATTTTCAAACGGCAACCCAGTGGAGCATTATTTGTGCGACGGCACACCGCGCGGCGTTTTCAGAATGTATCAATATTATACTCTCCCCCTCACTCCCCCGACCAAAACTTAAAAGTGGAATATCTCGTCGACGGACTGACGGGAATTCCAAATTTAAACAGCAAAATTAATATCCGTCTGTTTATGGCGTTTTTAATGTATGTAAAATTTCAGAGCTGCTTGTTCCTAAAATTTTCTATTAAATAGATGTTGAATATTGTTAATACTTTCCGAGATAATGAATGTCTTATAAGAAATCGATCACTCTGTATACCTTCCCGACGTTCCACTTTCGGCATTTCCCATCTTTATCGGTTTGCGTGTTTCAGATTTTCGGTTTTGGGCAAATGCGGCCTGTTTTAAATCCTATACAATACGCCACTGAATCCTATTCGTCTATGTCTCGTGATTCGTTTAATCGAAAACTAACGATTTTTAATGTCGTATGATTATGATTATTTTATTTTTTTTGCATTTAACCTCGCTACGGGTATCCGCGGAATGCAGCTGAATACATTGACAAATTCCAAAAAACGAGTCTGACAATTTATTTTATTTATTTTTTTTTTTTTTGAAATCGTTTCGTCATAAACTCATGGCTTTTTAGCTTTTATTGTTACGAACGTAAGATTATTCTTTGATATTTCCCGTTATTCGCGTACAGTGGCAATAATAATAATTTAACCGAAAAAACCTGCGGACGGGCAAACGAAAAACATAGTGAATAATAATATGATATGTGAATACTGGTTTAAGATTATTTTAATACGTAATAGTAATACGAGAATAACGCCATTATACGTTTAGCATTGCTAAATTAGCAGTTTTAATGATTTCGGGATATTTTACTTATTCCGGTCGTTTGCGGGCACCGTTAATAAACAGGTAGAATATATATTATATATAGTTATTTAATTTAAATCTGTAAGCAACAATAACTATTGCTAACGAAAAACGATTCTGAGCGGAGTTCGGTTATACGGTTTTTTTTTTTTTTTTTTTTTTTTTTTTTTTATTAAAGGCCGGCGGTTTTCTTGGAAAAAGTTGATCTTAAAATTTAATGAATATCTGTAATAAGCAACGATAAAGTATGGCTTAAGACTCTCAGCTGAGTTCGGTTACACATGTTTTGAAAGGCCGTAATATTTACGATTTGAAAATAATAAGTACATTTTATACATTTTGCCGTTTTTCCTACGTTTTTTCCAGTTTTTCCAATTTTTGCACCTCGGGAAAATTTCCTTTCGAAAAAAGTGCTAAACTTCAAAATCGGAGCAAGATTTCAGGTATAAAACATGTTCACAGATTGAAAACAAATTAAAAACATAATCATTGTGAAACCAATACATTTCTCACTCCGCTCAGAATCTAAAATCACTACATTACGCTGAACTTTTTTTACTACTAAGTACAATTATAATGAACCTCACGTTAAATTTTCAAATATATGTGTTACGTATAATTTTATTCTATGATAACTTGAGGCCTCTTCAATTATTTTTAATAGCAATACAACAAAAAAAAAAAAACGGAATAATAAATAACGAAACCTTAATGCCACGTAAACCCCCATTTCTTAAATTGTTCACAATTAATAAGAAAAGTACAAGGGAAATCAAAACCGACCTTCTGATGCGTTATTCTGTTTCATATGACAAAAATTTCCCTCGGGACAAATATTAAACATATGTAATGTGCAATAAAATGTCCAGTAGAGATACCGAAATGAAAAAATTTTAAATCAATAACGCTGGAAGTTAGTTAGTTTTTTCTTTTGCTTTTTTTTATCCCAGGACGATTCCATTTATTATGAAAACCGCCAGAAAAATCAAAAAATTACCTCAACCGTCTAGTTGGTCTAAATGCGAAATGCAAATAAAAAATAATAATATTTTTGGTACTTTTTTATTTCTGGTAATAAAGTTGCTCGCAGTCAAAAAACAAAAAAACACACTAACGGTCAGAATTTAATGTCGTGACGATGGATTTTCGATATTTTCATAAAGTCATCTCACATCCAGAACATCTCGTGACAAAGGCACCCAGGTCAAAATCTAAGAAAGTGAAAATCATAAAATTAAAAATCAACAAAATTGCTTTTATTAAATAACGAAGTTGTGTATATACCAAAAACCATATTTTAAAACAAAAACTGAAAACTACGTTTTCGCAAACTAAATTTTTCAACAGACTTATAGTGCCATGATGAACTTTTTGTTTATGAACACTGAACACACACAGTCCAATGGTCTGAGTCCATCCAACCGATATTCTCTCATAGTACATCTCGCCATTACCATCAGTACACAAACTAATTAATTATAACTAAACAAAAATGGCAATATAAATTTTCTAGGTGGGCGACATGTTACCCCTTTGCCCCTCTCCCCTTCTAATGGGCGCCCTTGTCTTGTGTCGTGCGTTGCGAATCGAGCATTAGTTTCTGTATCGAGTATACACATACGAAGGCCGACAAAATCAGTCTTTTAACCACGGCCGTACAGCGGAACAGCGACAAAAATAAACGGCCGAAAAAAACGATATTAGGCACCAGGAGTGTATGTGAAACGATGTCCATGCGCCGCCTCTTGGTCTTTTGTCGTTTATCGATATAACTGTTGTAAAAGTTGTTTACATACAGACCAGAAATAAAATATAGCCGAGGCTGGCGATGGGCGCGCCGCCGTTGTGGATGGGAAGCGGGCAAGGCAGGGCGCACAAAGTCATTTTTATTTATAACCGTGAGCACCGATAAACCATTGCTAACGAAATACGATCGCCAGCGAATTCAGTTAAGTTCAGCCGGTTAAAATCAGCATACGTGTTCCGGAATGCCGTAATGTTTACGAGTTGATCATAAACCGATTGTGAAACAGCCGATTGCATTACGCTCAAATCAGTGTTCAATGTTTAAGCGTCTCTGATTGATCAAACAATTTCATCAGCATAGCGTACCTATTGAAGAGAAACTAGAAAATGTAAAATGCCCATAAATGGATCAAAAATATTTTCTGAACATTTTGAACATTTTACCACCATTAGAAAAGGGTTGATATTAACATTATGTGTTCAGCACTTTAGAATAGTTTTTAATCGATTAACAATAAAAAAAAAAAAAATCAAAATCGAAAATAACGAAACCGATAATGCTTACCGCCAACTTACCTGGTTTCCCGCGTTTCCCCCCCGGGTTTGTCGCATTACTGAAAATCAAAAAACGACTTTTTTTCTCGCAAACTAGACACCAGAATGCAACAAAAAAGATATGTCTTGTAGTTTTTCGGTTGGTATTTCTGACGGAAAACCTAAGCCGGAGGAGTAAAGGAAAGGTATAGTAAATTTCACATCATTTTTTAGATTATCATAGCCCTTATCTATAATACTTCTCCGGTTCGAACGTTTAACTGGTATAACTCATAAACGATGATAAATCAAATATTACATCGTACGTTATATATAAGGTAGGCAAATCAACATTTCAATGGACAATTATCCTCTTGCCGAATCTGATTTGAAAAGGTGCCTGGATTCGACTGTGGGTCGTGTAATGTGAAAAAAAAAATCGTCCTGTGTACGCGGCGCGGTGTCCATATTACGACAAATGTTCCGCGGTCAATAAAAAAAAAATCCGTGTTGTTTATTCGTTTCGAGCGATTCCGGATTGTCGTCGTTAATCCTTCGGCGCATAAAATTAATATGATAATACCGAGTCGAATATTATGCTATTATAAAGGTGAGCGGAGAAAAAAAAAACCGGAAACCGGCAATATTATCTGCGCCAGACATTAAAGTTACGACGTTTTTATAATACGTCGTCGTCCTTAAATTTATTTTGTTTTTTTTTTTTTTTGTCGATAAACAATTTGCACACGATTCGTATACATCATAATATATTAAGTGTACCGTGTGGGCGCCAGATGTGATGGTGTGCAGAAGGATAAACACTGTATGGTAATTATTTATTTGTTTCTCTATACGGGATGTTCAACGTGTAACGTATAAGGCACTATCACAATCTCGGAGGGTATTTTTTTTTTTCCTCAGAATTTTCTATTTGGACATTTCAAGCAGCGATAAAATGTTACGTTACCGTGGTTTTTCGTCGCCCTCCTTTTCGCGGGTGCACCGCGACCGGAAATTCTACAAACAGACGCAGTGTTATAGTTGTTAAATGCATTTTGCCGTTCGAATCGTCCAACCCCGTCGACGAGACATTGCATTTTTACGTTTAGTATAGGAGAACAGCGGAGCACTTTTCAATAACAACCCCGTACCGCGCTGCCGCCGCCACACAAACTGTGTGCACTCCGGGGGGCGAGTTTACCAGGTGTACAGTATTTACCTAAGCGGGTTTTTATTGATATTATGAAATGTCGACCGTTCGAGGTTAATGTTTAATTCAACTAGTTAGGCACATTGGTATACGCTCTGATAATTACAATATTCATTTGTTTACGTACCGAATTGTATTTTAACGTTCCGAAAAAAACGGGTTACAGTGTATTTTTTTTTTTGCTATCGGATAATACATTTAAACGTATGAAAAAAACGAAAATAATATTTACTTCTTTACCCGTACGTAATGTGTGTTAAAGTATTATTATACGTAATTGAATTTATTGATTTCGAGAAAATAATTTAAATAGGTTATCGCGCGTTCATAACGGCTTGTAGCCGACATTTGACCGGGAAGGGGATAGTAGTTGGCCACGCGCATGTATACCTAATACATATACGTAAAAAAAAAAAAAACATATTACATATTTGGCACATTGTGAGCGAGGACCGAATCGCATACGAATAATTTTAATAATTGGCGTCGTTCGATTATTTCAGTTCCGAGTATATTTTACGTATGGGGCGGGGGAGGGCTTGCGAAACGTCTCTCCAGCCCCATCCATTTAAAAGTCGATTTACTGCAATAAAAAATGTCGTGTAAATCACGAATACATACACCATACTAACAATAATTACATATCATTAAATGTTTGAATGAAAAAAAAAAAAAAAAACGTACTATTTCCAAACGGGAGAGGAGGAGAATCTGGCGATAAGCACGCCTTGTTTCCCATTTATGAGGATAAGCTGAGAAAAAAAAAAATAATAAAAAAATACACCTACCTATATATCACATTACTGCGATGTACGTTGCGCCCAAGAGTACAGTGAGTGTATAAAACCGCGTTGAAAAACTCTACTGGCGCAGAAATACGCGACCGGTTTTGAAAAATAACACGCGACACACGATCGATTTATTATTATAATTATACCGTTTACACGTGCATATCGTGTACACGTTTTTCGTATAATATAGTTCCGTTTTTCACGACATTATAATGTAATATACACGGGCGTATAAATACACTAATAAATTACCGTGTGTATACGTCGGGCGAAATACCTCCTCGAGTGTTAGCATGCACACGTCATTTCCACCGTCGTAACACGCGTACGCGTAATGATATTTGCGCGCGTAGAATATTTTTTTTTTTTTTTTTTATGGGTCAGTAGGTAGTTCGGTCAGCAGGGATTTTCCGACTAGCTCTCCTCCGAATCGCCAATTTTCGCGCCCCGTAACGCTCGGCGTCGTTCTGGATTTCCTTACGGCCGCACGCCGTCTTGGAAAACCGCCATGGAACAATAATAGGTTAACGGTTTACGGTTTGAAACCGACAAGCGATTGGCGCGTGTCGGATCGAATGACCTGCCGTACCAAACAAGAGCCGGGTGCTTGACCCCGATCAAAGGGCCGGGGTAATGGGACTGCCCGGACGCGAGCGGGCCGTCACCGAAATATTTAGCCCGTGTTCACACGTGATCACGCCCGGGGGCGATAAAATTGACGGAGAAATCAACGCAACAAGGAAATTGGACGTGCGTTCGTGAATTAATAGATACTCTATAATACAATATAGCATGACGATTGCGCGGTGTGATCACCGTAAGTACCAATCGTTTTTAGTCAAATGTCACGTGTGCGTGACATTATCGTCCTATTATAATATCACGTTTATATGTTTTTATGTTTCATCGACTGGGTACTAGACCTGCTTTAATGTTGATTTGTATTCAAACCGCCGCACGAAGAAAATAAACAAATCGCTCGTTGTTACTTCACACGACGAAAGTCTCACGTTTCCGGTGAACAATAGCCGACTCGGCGACACTTTTCCGCGCGGCCCTCAGATCAGCTGCACGCACGTCACCGAGATAACCAAAACTCACTATCGCCGCGCAATTACTCCGGGTCGTGATTTTCCCGGCCTATTCGTTGTTTTTGTTTTTTTTTCGACATTTCAATAGTACCGAAAGACTCCGGGCCCTGGTTCGTGTTCCCATTAAATAACCGTTTGTACCGACCGTAGTTTACTACGCGTGACGTCAGTTCCGATGCGCACTGTTACGTAGCTTGCCGTTCGTTTGTTGATGCTTTTTCGCTGGT